TATGATTAGCAAAAGAACTTTTTGTATTGTATGGATCTCTGGGAAGATTTTGGTAGCTGTCATTCAATTTAACATGTTCATTAACACGAGTTGAATTCTTCTCCCACTCTGACCAATGTATTGTGTCAAACAATTAGGGTGTGAACAAGAGATTTTTTAGACACCGGATCTATTCAATAGAGGAATATTGTCTTCGGTGTTGACTAACAAACGGAAAAGTTCATCTGTGGTATACAATGAAACGTTGATATTGTCACGAAAGGATATTTTCAAAATTATTCTCAAATATTACTACTACTATTATTATTATTTCACTGTTCTCATTTATCGAGTTTGTTATATTTCTCAGCAATTCAACTGTCCTCATTCGTGACAAAACATTTTTCAATAAAATAAACATTTGAGGTGATCTATCGGAATCCACGTACCAAGAGGGACTTGACGTTCGGTCCGAATAGCGGACGGTTGCTTGTGGCAACGGGGATGTCCCAATTGGGACATCCCCAAGTTTTTGTGTTAGATCATTGTAAGTACCATTTTTATTATTCATTAAATCTTCAACCTAATGCCTCTTCAAGGAATGTCAAAATTGTAATTCATCATCAATAAATCCTTATTTCCTTTTGTTGTTCAAACTCAAGTCCTTTTTCATTGAGTATCAACCCTCAGCAAATCCCAACTAGCAAAGGTAATAAGTCACATTCGTGACATATGGTGGAGGCGCCGTGTTTCGTTCCCGAGGTTGGTTCTTCATAACCAGCCTCAACATTTGTTTTTATTCTTTGTCTTGAGTTTTTTTTATAAATGATGTATATATATTTTGTGAAGGGTCAAATTGGGATTCTCGTATGAGGCACTGGCCAGTAAAAGCTCACATTTCGGCATGCCAAAACCGAAATGCTTCTGCATGGGAGTTTCCCCATGTAAGGCCTTTTCTGGTAGTGCGTTACAGATCGGCATGCTAAAACCGTCTGTACTCATACGGGAGAAAATTTTGAATTCAGGGGTTGTTTTTCGAAATTCAAATTCAATGTATTCTGAAAGGGGAAATATTTGGATTCTTGTGTGAGGCACTGGCCAAATTAGCTCACAGTTCAGCATGCTAAAACTGAACTGCTTCTACATAGGAATTTTTCCATGTAAGGCCTTTTTTGGTAGTGCGTTACAGTTCGGCATGCTAAAACCGTCTGTACTCATACAAGAGTAAATTTGGTTTCTGTGGGTAATAAGACGTTTTTCTTAGAATTATAGAGTATAAAAGTACCTCATTCTGACTTGTTAAATATTTTAAGAAATAATCATCAATTCATTGTTTGAAAAAAGAATACGAGTAGCTGCAGTTGGGATTTCTGCTGACGGAGAATTTGCAAAGAAACTTGAAGAGTGCATTACATATAGGTAGCAATAATGATTTTTGAAGTAGGTCAAGTTCAATGAATTTCTCGTTCCTACTTGAATGCATAGTATATAAAAAGTTGATTATGATTCATTTGATGATCAATTTCGGAGACTGAAAATCATTTTGAGATGACAAATAATGCTCATTATTGCTATCTGCGGGTTGGGTATAATGATGTTATATTTTAGAGAGTTTTGGTATATAACATACAGTAGGTACCTTATAATGTACCATGTGAATAAATTTGATATGTGAGAAATTTGATATAATGATTATCCTTGATGGGAAGGATCATGGATTACCTAATAGTATGTTAGTTTGAAGTGCAAGGCTATATAAGGGTGAATAGTGAAAATCTTCATGATTCTCACGTATCTTCTGTAGATCTAGCCATAGGAAATAATAATTGATTATTATGTTTCAGGGAGTTTCATTATTGTTGCCCGGCTGAGCAAATGAGCTGCCGTTGAATAGTGAGACAGTGTGAAAATATGACCATATAGACGGCAAGTTGAAGGAATATATTGATATGAATGATGAAAACTTGAATTCGTTCCCTGTCAAGCATCTGGATGATGTCGAGTACGTTTGAAAAATGATGTGATATTCATCATTAATTATGAAATCTGAAGATTAATTGAGGGGTGTGGTATTTCTAAAGAGAAGTATGGGTGAAATCAATTCAGTCGCTTACTTCAGGGCGAATCTGAGGAATTGAGGAATGTGTTGGATGTTATCATGTAGGTACATGTATACAGGTAATTGCGAGTTGATATGATTTTGAAAAAGTGAAGTAGTGTGATGAAGCTGAATATATTGTGTTATTCCTATTATACCATATTAGTTCTAATATAGGTTTTACTAATTATCCAGGGTGGATTTGATCGTAATTTTTTATGGGTTACATATATTACTTATATATAGAAACTTGAAGTTTTTGAGGAGCTCCAAAAACTTCTGAGTGGTTTCATGAACTTGATTTGCTATATTGTTATTTCAAAAATCGTAAATTGAAATCAATGGTATAGCATTTCATCAATAATTTGACCATCTCAAATTATTTTAAGTTGAGTATGCCATTCAATGGCATATTAAAATGGGTAAAACTTAATAGGAGTTTTTTTGTCATTAAATAAAATATATACCTATCTAAGAATCATTTAATCAGAATGGAATTTTTCACATAGTTATTCTCATGAACACGATTGCAATCGATGGAATGATGGATGATTTATCCTTGGTTTAATTAGGTACATTTTTGAGAAATAAATGCACTGCAGTTTCCAATCTTATGAAATTATATTATGTTGCTTGATTATACAATTCATTTTAGGACTATACATCGTGTTGTGATACTGAAGGCAGGTAGAATGAATAATTATGTAACCAAAGTAGCAGAAACATGATATAGTATAGTCCACCAGGCTGTTGGCTCAGATGTATCAATGCTTGTATACATCCCCATCCATATATTAACATAAAAATGTCTAACCATGGAGTTGAAGTTCAAGGATCAAGTGAGCCCGCATTGATGTTGATGATTTGGAGGAAATGGATGAATTGGAAATCGAAGCACCCAAACCATAATTTTGAAGTGAAGAAGCAAATTATGTTGATGATTTGGAGGAAAAGGGTGAAGGCAATGGCCGATGGGAGGATTGGAAATCGAAATACCCAAACCATAATAAACCTCTGTCGAATATCATTGCTGAAGCTGGTTGTAGCCAAATTTGAAATATATAATGGACTCAAATATGGATTAGGTATGGACAAAATCATGTTGATATCATGGTATTATGGATGAAGAAGCTGATCATCTGAGTATGTAAGCCGAGAAGAAGACCTCAACGTTTGGAGAACTGTTTGTAAACCTGTTTTCAGTAATGTATTGTAATTTCGTCTCTTGGTATGTGGATGGTATTTTTTCAAAATTTCCAATCACTCGGGGCGAGTGATTTTTGGAGGGGGGAGTAATGTCACGAAAGGATATTTTCAAAATTATTCTCAAATATTACTACTACTATTATTATTATTTCACTGTTCTAATTTATCGAGTTTGTTATATTTCTCAGCAATTCAACTGTCCTCATTTGTGACAAAACATTTTTCAATAAAATAAACATTTGAGGTGATCTATCGGAATCCACGTACCAAGAGGGACTTGACGTTCGGTCCGAATAGCGGACGGTTGCTTGTGGCAACGGGGATGTCCCAATTGGGACATCCCCAAGTTTTTGTGTTAGATCATTGTAAGTACCATTTTTATTATTCGTTAAATCTTCAACCTAATGCCTCTTCAAGGAATGTCAAAATTGTGATTCATCATCAATAAATCCTTATTTCCTTTTGTTGTTCAAACTTAAGTCCTTTTTTATTGAGTATCAACCCTCAGCAAATCCCAACTAGCAAAGGTAATAAGTCACATTCGTGACATAATTATCGTTGGAACGTTGTAAAATGTTTTTCAGATCGTATGAAACTTTACCCAGGAGAGGGATCGAGCAAAACAGATTTTAATTATTATTGAGTGGGATGAGACCTTGATTGATGAATTTATTAGAATATTTGTTGAACATTTTGTCGATGAGGTGCAGAGGTGGTAATAACGTTATTCATTTGACATGTGACTTATGTCGGAATGGTCCACTGAACACTTGCATGGATTGGAATGGAACAATATGGTATGGGTATGAAGAAAAAATTGAATTCATCAAGAAATATCACTGACTTTTATGAAGGAGATGTACCATTCCATATGTTTGAGAACTGTGGAACTGTAGTGTGATATCAATGATGAATACCACCATTGTCCACATCAAAATGGCAATTTCTCTGCACAAAAAGTAATTTTGTCCATACTGGAAACCTTGTACGTATTTCACGAAGAACTTATTATTCACTTTTTTGCAAAATGATTTCAAAATATCCAATTCGCAATGAGTGCATACGGCAATATGTTTTTGTTGTTCATACTCAGTTTGAAATTTGACGTTGATTTGACGTTTGATAGAGACATCTATTGGTTCGTGATTTCCGCGAATTTTTTCTTCATGCCACAGGGTATTTTTGTGTCACTTGTCATTTGAGACATACTTCACGCATCCCATGTCAATCGATACCCCCTCCCCCTTTACCGCTCTACCACGTCATGTTAACCATGATTCTCATGAAGGGTCCATTCGAATTCCAATTACCTGGATGAACAAGTGTTGGTACCCTCCATAGAGCCCTTTGAGCCATGGGCACTTTGCCCTCCATTAATTGAAACAATGTCATTTCATATTGTATAATATTATTGTTGCCCCCCTTTTTTTTCTCCATTTGCACGTGAGTACATAACCTAAGGTATAATTTTTGTAACTATAAAACATTTTCTTTGTAGAAATTGTATTAAAAATGCTTCTGCTGATGATGGACTATTGATAGTCCGAAACATTTTTCAGACACTGATAATTCTGATAATAAATTTGTGGAGATGACTTAGTGTGTCCTGCGTATGAATTTATTCACTCCACTTTGAGATACCATGGACTTCTACCATAGATTATTTCATGATTGTTCGTTCTCAAAAGAAATGACATCTCATGGTTCGAATTTTCAGATGCGGCTGCGACGAATGCGTGACGTCACGCATGGAAGACTCCCTGCGGCACTCGCGGAGCCGCATAAACGCATACAGGGCGCTCGCCTCGCCGTCGCTGATCGCTCTCTCTTCCAAGGACCCCATCCTGACGGCCTTCGAGTTATCCTGGGAGTTGCGAAGGTTGGTCCTGCAAATACTAGCATACATCACGTGTCGATTCACCTACTCGAAAACAGAATCTATAATAACGAACAAAAACTAGCGCTTTTGATTATTTATTGTATTGAGTTCTGAATGAAGAAAATAGGTTTAAATGGTGATGGTGTGGCCAATAGATTTATCAGATCGAATTATAATAACAAACTCAGATAAATATAAACAAAATATTCATATTTTGAATTAGTAAAAAATACTACATTTGTCAACTACGAAATAGCCACAATGCTCAAAGTGGAATGAAAGCTCGAAGTCATTTCCACAAATCTTTATGAAATGAACAACAATGGTAAAGATGACGAGAGAAACACAACCACATTTCTAGCTAATGCCACGCAGTTCATTGAATTACATTCTCCCGAAATCTATGCATCAATACGTATGAAGGATTTTTCTTTAGATTTAGATTTGGAATGGGGCCTTCGGGCTATCTGCCTCCACACTGCGACCTTTCCACTCTGCCCTCAAAATCGATTAGAGTTCTTCGGCTAGCCCCGCCTTCTCTATGAGATTCCATAGGCTAGCTTTCAGATCTCCTGTGTATCTCTGGGCTCCTGGTTTTTCCTCACCCAGCGTAAGGAACCTTAGTCTTGGCAAGCCCTCACAGTGGCAAAGTATGTGTACTGCTGTTTCTTCCTCTTCTTGACAGAACCTGCACAGCAGTTCTTCAGTCAGACCTATCGTACTCATGTGTTTGTTGAGCCTACAATGCCTTGTGAGAAGTCCCACTAGTATTCTAGTTGAACTTCGTTTCTGGCTTAGTAGATATTCTGTGAATGTTGGAGATGGTTTTTTAATAAACTATTTTGCCTGTCTCATTCCTGGCGAGTTGTTCCACCATTCTTCAGATTTAGTTTGCATCCATGATTCGATACTAGTCTTTTGTATAGCTTTCGCAATACCACAGAAGGGTACCCATGCTAGAGTCAATCTGTTCTGACTGCCCAGTGCATTCAGGGTTTCTTAGCAGTCCCATACTAGTTTCGAGTCAACTTGCATAGAGTTGACTTTGATTGCCGCCTGGCTATCTGAATAGATTGCAATGGTTCTGCCTTTGAACTCTTGCCTTATCAATTCTTTCCCGCAATGATGTATTGCAATAATTTCTGCCTGAAACACCGTCGCGTATTTGCCTAAGCTCAGTGAGATTCTTGTCTTTGGCATGGCCCCATAAATACCAGCTCCTGATCCAAACTCAGTTTTGGAGCCATCCGTATAGACAGCAATGTCTGCATTGATAGGAGGTCCTTCCTTCCATGCCTCTCTGTCCGTTATACTTATTTTAAAAGTTTTTTCAAAGCTATATTTTGGAATTATGCCATCCGTTGGCATTCCCATGATGGGGTCGCTTTCCAACTCTTCATATAGCTTTCTATAGTCTTTACCGTGCGCGTTGCTTATGGGTGCTTGACCCCTTGACAATCTACTCACGATTGCTCTGGCTTCGCCTTGAATATATATTTGTAGTGGTGGTAGGTTCAAGAGGACCTCTAAAGCGGCTGTTGGAGTGGTTTCCATTGCACCAGTGGCACTCAGGCACGCTTGCCTTTGAAAAGCACTGAGCCTTCGAATCACTCCAGCCTGTTGTGTCTTTGGCCACCAAACTACTGATCCATATGCTATCATAGGCCTGATGACGCTGGCATAGAGCCATGTGGTAATTTTTGGTTGCAGTCCCCAATTTTTTCCGCACATTCGTCTGCACAGATTGAAGGATACTGTACTTTTTTGACGTATGAAGGAATACTAATGCAACACACAAATTGCTCTTGTTTCACTATGAATCAATGAGGGATGTTTTTACGATCACCCTTACAAGCATGTGACGCTCCTGAATAGAATTTTGAAATTTTGAATTCGTAGTCTCATTCACCGTACAATTTTATGCCGTACACCAATTTTCGAAAATTCATTGTGAAGGATTTTAAAGTTATAAAGAAAACAATCGTCTTTGAGGGGTACTATTCAAACGGGCGTAGTTTCCTTAAGCGTTTTTGGACCCTTGTTATGAGGAACTTTTTGCCTCATTTTCATGCAAGGAATATGCCCCTGAAAGAATGCCGCTCACTTTTGAATCGCCCTCTATTCTATTATTTTTCTGTTGAAACATTATGGAATAATCTACCCTAACAACACAGGGATGCTCTAGATACGTCCCTTTTTTGTCCCGCGGTACGAGGACATAATTGGGATATCCAGGAGATGTCCCCCGCAGTGGTTGTCCAGTGGACATCCCGCCCGATTTATCCCTAGGTTTATCTCATTCGTATCCCTGGAATATCTGATATCCATTCACATCAGAGAGTCATTGAATTTCATCGAAATATTGAGTCCAATTTTTTCGAAAATGTATTTCTTCCGGAAAATATTTGTAATGAAAATAAAGAATATAGCAATTTTCGCAAACAGAAATCGTAAATGCATAATGCCCCTCATTTCAAAACAGTCAAGAATGATAATAATTATATCCGAATCCTAACAAAGTTTTATTTATTCAGGTTTCTGTAGTTTAGTTCTGTTCAGAAATCTTTCAATACATGAATCTTCAGAAGGCATTTTAGCCAATGGAATAAGGTGCGTGCCTGATAAGCTGAAGGTCCCGGGTTCAATCCTTACTCGAACTACATTTTTCCTTCTCTTGTCGAAGAGATGTCCCTAGGATATCGTTGGGACGTCCTAGGGATACTCCTTCCACGTACTCGGAACATCCCAGGGACGTACCAGAAGGGACATCCCTTGAATATCCTTTTTCCCTGGAAGCGGATGTCCCTGGGACGTGTCTAGTATGTACTTTATCCCAAAAGGGATATCCTTGGGATGTCCTTGTTTGAAATCAGGGACGTCCCTAGGAAATTTCTAGGATGTACTCGTGTTGTTAGGGTAAAACTTTCTCAGAATGTTGGGATGAAATCATTCTAAGAGAACATTAATCGAACATTTCAGGATGTTCGGAAAGATGTATGTTCCGAATATTGTGAGAATAACCCTTATATTTTCTGTGCTCTTTGATTATTATAATCATTCATTATCCATTCATATTCATTAGTATTGACTTCCATAGAAATTCATCTCTGTGGAAATTGGAATATATGTACTCGATGGAATACAATAAAGAACACGATTTCAGGTTGCAGTCATACGAACATGAATCATGCCAAATTGGAATTTCCATAATTATGACATTGTGTGCTGTGGATGAATGAATGGATGTGTAGAAAGCCTGAAAGGCATAGGTTTACTTCCTTCTTGTTCCAGACTGAGCTTCATGGAGCACGAATTCAAAAGCGAATACCAGGAGCTGCGCAAGCAATGCCAGGACTTCGCCACAGCCCTTCTGGACCACACTCGCAGCTCGTACGAGCTGGAGGTGCTCCTCAATCACGACCCTACAGGGCCGGCCTTCGAACACGGCGATAGAATGCACCTGAATCGGCTGAAACTAGCCATTAAGTTGAGACAAAAAAAGGTTGGTATATAAAGGTACAGGGATATATTGATGATTATCAAAATCCCTTCGATTTTGAGAAGCGCCCGAAAGAGAGAAGGAATTTTTGATGCTAATCATCAATGAAATGATTATGATAATATTTTTTTTTTTCAGAACAAAATTCGAACAATCCCCCTCCTATATTTCGGCTTTATTAGTCGTTCGATTCTTACCAACTTACGACTAGTATAAATAACCATAAATATGACCAGTGCCGTGCGTTTTTATTAGGATCAATAGGGGTACATTTTTCATGAAATCATTTAAGGAATTTTTGAAATATTGTCCTTCATGGTTTCCAATCTCCATATGCGAGCAAGATTTTTATTAACTGAAAAATAGCACTCCAAAATATCTCTTCTTTGTTCCAGTGGATATGGCATCATGAGAAAATTGTCGAAATTTTGCGCACTTATGTCACTGGAATGTTGGCCAAATGTCAATTCACTTATTCATCATCTCATTCTATTTCAACCATAGCTAACTTGGACCAAATATTAATATTTAATTTTCTGATATTTCGTCAAGCCCTCGATAGAATATATGAAAAGTATATATCTTTGAAATCAGGAAAAATAGCTCTTTCGAAATATGCGATAATATACAGGGGGTTCCATTTGAAAAAAAAATTTTTTTTCACGAACCCTGTATATGAAATGATAAAATCAAGCAGAGAACACATTTTCTAGAAGGAAATGACATCTCATTCAAGTACCTTTCTCCAAATTTCAAATATCTTTTTTCGTTTTCGAGATATCAGCTGTTGAAGTCGAGAAATCCATAGTCAATCACCCTGTACATCATCAACATCACTACTGTCAGAAAAAAAAGAGAATTGTAACAAAATTGAAAAATATTCGAAAAAATATAGCTATTTCCAATTCTCTTCCATGAATTGCTCGAAACTGAGTGTGGAATAGCAACTTAATAAGAAATGTTTATGGATATTTTGTTATCTAACCCCACTTTTCGTCGCTTTATAGTATTATTTTTATTTATACCAGTGATCACGTGACATGTGTCAAAATCGATTTTCAAGTTATCGGATATTCATAATGGATCGCCGAGAAAAAAAATTCGATGCTGTGATAATAAAGCTGTTCTCATATGTTATGGACTTTATGGATGATACTTGATACTGTATATATCTGTAAGTAAAAATCTTTGTCATGCTTGAAATAACAAAGTCTTGCCAAAATACGATCGAATTTTTCAGTTTAAACAAGTTGAAATCGAAGGTAATTGTGCAATTTGTCTCATTTTTAAAAATTTTAATGAATTCATGACTTTTTCGAAAAAAGTCAGTGGAATTAATTCACGAATTAAATCAATGATTTAATTCATATGAATTAATTCATGCCAACCCTGCTCGATTTCCTTCTTTTAGTTTTCTTTCAATTTCTGGAATTCATTTTCTCGCTAATTGAATACTAACTTGATGAGAATCTAATGTTTTGGAAGTCTTTGTTATAGATCGATTAATGTATTCATTCACACTCTGCATATTTACGTTATTTTTCACCTGATAAATAGCAGTAGTTCTATATGCTGCCTTTCCAAATTCCTTTTCTGAAGTTTGACAGGTATTTCGTGACAAACTAGGAACCCATTTCGATAGTTCTTTGTTTTACTAGGCATCCGAGGCTAGGAAACCAGCTATGTCATTGGATCTTCTTTCCTATCATATGGAAAATATATTTTTTGCTCTAAAGTTTTCGAAACCAATATTGTGCGATTCCTTCATCAAAAACAAAGTGTCATCAGGAAAAACACTTCTAATGCCATTTGGAGAAAATAGTTATTTGTTCAACTAGGCACAAAAGCACAAGATTGAATGTCACGGCTGACGTTTCCAATTTCACGAAAATTCGAAATAATCCAACAGTTTTTGTTCATACAATGTCATTATCAATTTTTATTACAAATTTGATTCAAATTTTGAGTGTCATTAACAAGCAAGTTATTTCTCCAAATTACACTTACCAGGCATGAAAGGTGTACTCTTCTACTGCCTAGGCATAAAGAGTACTGCCTATAAGCAGAGAAAGTTTGTTGCGATGTAACGTTCCAAGTAATAATTTGAATAGGTAATCAGAATGATAGATAGATAGATAGATAGATTTATTCAGGTCGATATCAGTAATACAAAATTATGTTTGATTATTTATCAAACACACTATTTTTTGATCTAAGTAAAGCATTCGATACAGTAGATCACTATCTACTTTTTCAAAAGTTGTACCATATTGGTGTTCGAGGAACACCATTAAATTGGATCATTTCGTATCTTCAAGATCGCAAACAAATAGTAATGCTGGAAGATACAAAATCAGAAGAAAAAACTGTCAACGTAGGGGTTCCCCAGGGATCAATACTGGGTCCAATACTGTTCATCATTTTTGCCAATGACATTAATTTAACATGCACACAAGCACACAATATAATGTATGCGGATGACACAACCATGATGATCTCTGAAAACAGTTTGGAAACTACATTGCGTAATGCCAATATCGTTGCAAATCAATTTTATAAGTGGTGCAATAGTAATGGTTTGTGTGTGAATATAAAAAAAAACAATTTCATTTCTTTCATTCCAAGAAACATCAATAATGATTTCTGCTCTTTAATAAGGATCAATGGCAAAAGCATTGAACAGGTTACGGCAATCAAATTCTTAGGGGTCACTCTTGATCACAAAATGAGCTGGGAGAACCATATCAACATATTGTATAATAAAATGAGTAGAAACTGTTTTGTAATACGGCAACTAAAAAACACAGTATCTCTGATATATTACTGTTGGTCTACTATGGTCTGGTGCAGTCGAATATATCCTATGGTTTGATTTTTTGGGGGAACTCAAGTCACATTGACAAAATATTTATGATGCAAAAAAAAATCATCAGGTGTATCAAAGGTGTCAATCAGAGAACATCAAGCAAACAAATTTTTATTGATTTATCTATTTTAACAGTACCATCATTGTATATATTTCTCACAATTTTAAATGTTAAAAACCAACTGGGAACATTTGTTCGAAACAGTTCTCAGCATAATTACAATACTCGAGGAGCAAACACCTTGTATCAACCATTCTCAAGACTTACCATTGGTCAAAATTCTCATTTGTATAAAGGTATTTCACTTTATAACCATTTTGAAAAGAAGTTCGGTAATGAACAACATTTTAATGATTTTAAATACTTCAAATCTCTCTTGCACAGGTTTTTGGTAAGACATGCATTTTATTCTGTAGAAGAATTTTTTCAGTGTTAAACGGTTTTATCTATTATACATGGATTTTAATTCGGTGTTCAATGTAATCTAAATGTAACAATAACAGTTTTCTATTTTTTAAGTCTTTATTATAGTTATAGAACCATTTCTCATGACTAGTCTAATAAAGTAGGTACCTGTATGAACATATATTTGTTTAACATGTTTTGTACCACTTTTAAAGATGCTTAAATATATTTCTATTCTATTCTATTCTATTCTACAATGTAGAATATTCCTATTCCTGTCAGTCTGAAGTCACCTAAGCAGAGCTTGTATTGTGTCCTTCAGGCTGCTAAGTTATATCTCGAATGTGATATGGTACTACTCTGACTTACATAGTTGTTTTTGATTTACAAAACAGGTTGAGTAGAATATAATATATAGAATTCATATAAATAGAGATATATTGATGTAGAGGAGAGAATTGACAATGACTTTGGGTGAACACAAAATGTTGGATTATTCGGACTCCATGTAAAATTGAAACGAATTTGGAGAAAAAATTATATGTTTCACATGGTAGGAAAGAAGATTCAATGCTCAGCTGATTTTATAGCCTCGGCTACGCTTTGGCTATAAAACGCTAACCGCGTCCTTTTCTACCTAGTTAAACAAATAACTACTGTTCTGAATCTGTATCTTTCTATCACAAAAATATACACTGTGTCCCGCGTTAAATGAATATGCCCTGATATCTCAGTTGTTAATGATGCGATTTTATGAGATTTTGGTGGTAATTGTATGTAATAACGATGGAGTATTTGGCATTGTGAATATTTTTATTCTTCATTGGCGTGCGATGTTGAGGGGTGTAAATAAGGCCTTTATTCGGGAAAAGGGCATTAGGGCTTATTTAGGAACACTTTTTTGATCGGATTCAGGATCAGCATCCTCCAAATACCTCCGATTCATATTTTCAAGAGCTAATTTCAGCACAAAATCTGCGTATTCAGCTATGTATGAATCACCCTAAAATGTCAGTCATTCATGATGCGGTTCTGAAGAAAATTTTGATGGTTATTGTATCTCTGAAATCAATGACTCAGATATGAGTATAAGCAGCGGGATTTTGAAATTTATTTTTTCTGCTAAAATCAGCTCTTGAGATTCTTGAGAGTTCAGAATGGCATTTCTTACTTTCCGCAACACTGCACGCCAATGGTAAATGAAACTGCGAAATACTTCAATTTTTTAAGATACAGTCACCACAGGAATTTTGAGAAAATCGTATCATTACTACCTGATATATTGGGGTGTATTTATCATGAAAAGCGGAAAACAACTGTATACAGTGTGTCCCACTTACCATGCTCACCATTGGTATCTTTTTAACGGTGAGAGATACGAGGTCGGTTAAATGACACCAAATGTGGAGTTTGTCAAAGCCATCAACTATAATGTGAAGAAATATTTCGATATAATCTATTCGTTTTTGTTTTATACGGAAAAAACAGATTTTGATCATTTTCATGTCTCCTCCGTAACTTCTTTATTTATGAAAATATTCAAATAGGAATTTCACATTCTCATGGCAGTTTTACAAAATGATTTCGAAAAAAATATGAAATTTATACCAACTCTTCTAGAATTTGAGATATCAGCACCAACTTTAGTTTTTCAAATGTAGGTCATAGCTCACTATGACTTAGTTACAAATAACTTCTTTTTCTCTTACAGATGATGTGTCGCAGTAATAG